ACCGCCCCCGCGGGCGCGGGCGCGGCCCCCCCAGCCACAGACCGGCTGTGGCCGCGGGGTCCCCATGGCAACGCCTTCGGGGTGAGTCCCGCAGGGGGGCGGGGCGAGAGGGCGGGAAAGTGAGGCCGCCCCTTCGCGGCGCGGAGGCGAAAAGGGCGCCTGCCCGGGCCTTGCGCGCGCGCAGTACGCCCCGTCGCCGCGCGGCCGCCTTCTGCGCCTGCGCAGTGCTCCCTGCGCAGCCTGCCGACGCTCGGGGGCTCCCGCGCGCCGCCTGGGACCGCGAGGCGCAGGGCCGTGAAGTCGCTTACCCCGGGCCTGTATTCGCGTCCTTCCTCCCCGCCCTCAACTTCCTGAGCAGGATCCTGAAGGAGAACAAAGGGCGAGAACTCCAGTAACTTCCTTCCCCTGGCAGCTGAGAATGCCCCAGGGGCAGCCACTTTCCGAGGCCGTTCTGCTCTTCCTTGGTCTGGGTGGAAAAGTACTTTCAATTAGGGTCTGTTAAATCTCAATTCCAGTCTTATCTTTTTGCCCTTTAGGGATTCAACATTCTCGTGGTAGTTTTTTGTTTTTTTTTTTCTTTTTGGTTTTTTTTCTTTTTAAGAGATTTTTGCCTTAGGGCGTGTGCGCTCCTTGAGAGGTTGGAGAGACAGACACAGAGCTAGAAGGCAATAAATACCCCCACTCCCCAGGTGGGGAGATGGGCACACCGCAGTCCCTAACCCTCCATTCTCCTATCGGTCTTGAGTTTTAAGCTGCTAGGTCTCGGGACTTGAACTGGGGTGGATTACCTGGGAGTCCAGCAACATAACCGTTACGCCATCTGCTGGTCCCTCTCCTGGTAGTAAATAGCTGACCTCAAGGTGAATTGTATGGGGGTTCCTATCTTCTCCGGTTTCTTCCCTTTAGTCCTAGCGCAGCTGATGAACCGTTCACTCAAACCCTCACAGCTTAGACTCGGAAGTGGACCACTTTCCCCAGTACCCCTACTGAGATAGAAAAAATGTGCCAGAGGTGGAAAACACTGATCGGAACCTGGAAATTTAACATAGTTAGAATGAGCTCTAGCCAGCTGAGGAGCGGGGTCCCACATGGTGGACCACGGTTTGTGTCCCAGACTGTGGGGCTTGAGAAACGCTGGGAACCTATGTGTGTGCTTCAAATTCTGAAAAGGATAGAAAGAGGAGGGATGCTTACTCCTAGGCCTTTTTTCCCTGGCAAGGGCATGGACCCTCTGTGTGGGGGTATACAAGCACTTTTGCTCCTTTCAAGCTTGAGAGTAGAGGTGAGAAAACAAAAACACTTAAACTTGATGTCATTCAGGTTATATTCATGAAGCGTTAGAGCCAAATATTGGTCTTTGAATCCTCAATTGCTAATAGTGGAAAATGTTTTAAAACAACCTTTTACATTTTAGATTTAGGCTTACAGAGAAGTTGTAAAGATAGTACAAAGGGGGACCTGCAGTTGGCATAATGGCTATGTAGTTGACTGCGGTTCAAGTCCAGGACCTGGTGACTTAAACTCACACCAAGTGCGTATGTGTGCATGCCCAAGATCGCGAGAGGAGAAGGCAGGAGAAGGGACTGTGGCATAGCCATCCCCCCCAGAGGTGATTTCTCACTTTCCGTCTCTGTCTTTCTGGTGAGCGCACAGTGGCATAGCCATCCCTCCCAGAGGTGATTTCTCACTTTCTGTCTCTTTCTGGTGAGCACACACACCCTATAGCAAAAAACCTCTCCAAAAAAAAAAAAAAAAAATAGACGTTGTCTCCAAGGTAGGGACTTTTTTTCTTTAGAAATTAGGGTTACTTAATTAGAAAATACTATTTAAGAAGTACTATTAGAAGTTCCAGCCCCTCAGCCCAGCGGTGAAGTGCCATGTCTATGAAGTTGGATTTCATGTGGCCAACTGCAGTGGATTCCCAGTCCAGCAGCTTGAAAATGCTGAGTGCAAGTGCACCCAAAATTCTAACTAGATTAGAGAGGTGGAGGGAAAGGACTGTAGTGTGACTACACCCCTCTGGGAGGTGCTTTTTCTCTACATCTGTCTGTCTCTAGTAAGCACATGTACCCTCTGGCAATGAAAAATTAAATTTTTTTAACTACTCTTATATTTTTAGGATGGTGACAAAAGAAAAGCTCCTTTATTTTATTGAGGACCTAAAACAATATGGCAACAAAAGACTCCTACATGCCTGACTGTGGTTCAAGTCCTGGACCTTGCCACTTGCTTTCTCACTTTCCCTCTCTCTCTCTGTCTTTTGCTGGTGAGTGCACATGCCCTGCAGCAAATTAAAATAATCCTAATAATAATGATGAATAACTTTTAAATTTACATGCATTAATACAGAGATCCCCAAATCCTGAGCCATAGACCAGCGTGGGTGTGTGGCCTATTGGGGGGTGGGTGCTGGACCAGTGGCAGTTAATTGAGCCATACAGCAGGGGTCGGGTGCAGCAGGGGGTGGGTGCTGGCAATTGAGCAAGACTTTGTACTTGTAGCCACTACCCATTGCTGGCATTGCTGCCTGGGCCCCACCTCCTGTCAGATCAGTGGTGGAACTAGATTCTCATGGGAGCATAAATCCTACTGTTATATGATTGTTTCATTGTATATTGCAATGTGGTAGTGGTGGAAATGCGGTGTACAATGGATGTGGTGCACTTGGCTCATCCCAGCCCTCACCTCCATCCCTACCTGTGGAGGGACTGCCTTTTGTGAGGCCAGTCCTTGGTGCCAGGAAGGTTGGGGACCGCTCTATTAATAGGTCAGTATGCCTATAAAGTAGCATTAAATCTTTTATTTTTGTAATTAAGTAATTCTACCACCCACGTATAGTGTTTAAAAGGTGGCTACTAGAAAATTTTAAACAAAGGTCATTTGCATTATATTTGAAAGCACTGCTCCAGACTGTGAAAGAATTCTCAGCTCCTTTATATTTTAATGTGAATTTTTGTCAACATGTCACATTCCAAAAAAATAATTCTCAGGATTTTGTGGAATTGCAGCCACATTTAAGAAAGAATTGTCATCTTTTTGTCATAGTGTTTTCTTATCCATGAACATTTTATAACTCTCCATTCAATTTGATAAAGTTTAAAAGTTAAAAATTGCTGAGGAATAGCTAAGATTTTTAATGTATTTTCTTTTTAGTTGTAACACTTTATAGTTTTGCTTAAAGTTCACGTTGTTTTCAACCCTTTTTTTCCCATTATTGTCAGAGGGTATATGCACTTGTCAGAGACAGAAAGTACTGAGGAGAGAAAGTACCCCCAATGGAAAGACAGGAGTATTTTTTTCTATGCTAATGAGGTGGCTGGGAGCCCCTAGCTGGCTTCAGGTTAAGAACTGGTCACTAGAAAGACCAACCTGTAAGTAATTAGAGGGTTGGAATATTCATCCCTATCCCCTGACCTTTCAGGGAGAGAAGGAAAAGAGGCTGCTGATTGCATTAATTTCCAACGGCCAATGATTTAGTCATGCTTATGCAATGGGATGCTGTGAAACCCCTAAACCAAAGGGTTCAGAGATATTCCAGATTGGCGAACACATCCGCATGCCAGGAGGATGGTATACCACATTTTATAGGAATGGAGGCTCCTGCATAGGAGGATCTTCCAGATCTAGCCCTATGTACTTTATCTGGCAATTAAATGTACTTTCTTTAATAGCCTTTATATTCAATAATAAACTAGGAAACGTAAGTAAAGTGTTTTTCCAAGTTCTCTGAGCTGTTCTAGCAAATTAGTAAACCTGAGGAGGGAGTTGTAGGAATCCTCTACATTTATACCTGGTTGGTCTGAAGTCCTAGTGACCCAGACCCTATGACTAGCATCTGAAGTGGGCATCCTGCTAGGACTGAACCCACACATGTGGGATCAAATACTAATTCAAGTAGTTGGTGTCAGAACTGAATTAAATTGTAGGACACCCAGCTGGTGATTGTGAAGTTGGGAAATTTGTTGCTGCCAGGAGCACCCCTGTACATTTGATATCAGAAATGTACAGTAGGTAGCAACACTGAGCGATAGTTTGCAAATAGTTCAACTGGCAATGTTAAGCATGCTAAGCCCAGAATTTGCTGTATATAATCTAAGGTACAATTGAAGTGCCTACCAGAAAAGAATGATTCTATTAACCATGTTGGCTTGCCTGTGGGCTGAGCAACCAGCTTTTGCCCCCTTAGAAGGCCCAGCATGGAACTGAGGAAGAAGGTGTAGAACAGTTTCAACCTTGGCAAAGGAGGAGGGAGAAGCAGGGTAGAAGGAGGAGGAGGAAATGCCAGAGATATCTCTTGTATGCCTACTCCACAGAGGCCATGTGAGGACACTGGGAGAAGGTGGCCATCTGCAAACCAGAGAGCCCTCCCCAGAAACCAAATCTGCTGGTGCCTCAAGCTGAGACTTCTAGCTCCCAGAACCGTGAGAAAATTCATTTCTGTTGCTTAAGTCCCCCCAGTCTGGTTGTTGTTATAGCAGTACCAACAGACTGATAGAGTTCTGGATAATTTTTTGTTGTTGGGAAGGGGCTGGAGCAAGTTTATGCTACGTACTATAAGACATTTAGCAGCATCTTGCTCTGTCACCAGGAGATGCCAGCAGCCCTTCTACTCACCCCAGGTAATGAGAAACAAAAATGACTCCAGACCGTTGAAAGTGTCCCCTAGGAAACAAATCACCCCAGTTGAGAACCACTGATAGAGAGGAACCAGAAATACCTATCTGTCCCTCAAGGTCCTGGCACGGTTGCTTTCCTTTCCTAGGACTGTCTGTGAGAGAGGGGAAAATATCCTGTTGGAGAATGAGATAAAGACCTTGGGCTTCAGCACAGATATGTGTTTTCAGGCAGTATTTATTGGGTCATCAGAAAAGTCACAACCAGGAGCCAGCAGTTAGCATAATGGCTATGTCTCTGGACTCCCACCTAGTCGACTGCGGTTTGCATCCCGGACCCGGTGGCTTAAAACTCATGCTGGGCGTGTGTGCGTGCGTGCCCAAGATCCCGAGAGGAGAATGGAGGAGAAGGGATTGCGGCGTGACCATCCCCCCCCCGGGGGGGTGATTTCTCGCTTTCTGTCTCTCTGTCTCTTTCTGTCTGTCTGGCGAGCGCACGCACCCTATAGTGAAAACCTCTCAAAAAAAAAGAAAAAAGAAAAAAGAAAAAAGAAAAGTCACGACTCATTTTTACATAGAAAAAAATATGTCGTGACTTTTCCAACAACCCAATAGATGCCTAACAATGGATGAGAGACCTGCTGCTCGTGCTGCCCAAATAGTTTCTGTGTAATATACAGAGATTTTGTTTACGATTTCTGGGGCCGCCTTCTTTGTGCAAGGTCTCTAATGCTTGAATGTGAAGTTTGTCACTAGGTCTTCTAGTTTATGTGCTTTTCTCTTGTCATGCTGCATTGCTTAGTTTTCTTGAGCTTTTTATTAATTTGAGTGGTTGAAGCACTGGACTACCACATGGCCAAGCATGGTTCAAGTGCAGACCTGGGGGCTTGCCTTCTCACTTTCCCTCTCTCTCTCTCTCTACCCCTCCCCCATTCCCTCTCTTTGCAGTGAGTGCCAATGCTCTGTAGCAAATAGGGCATGTATGCTCTCCAGAAAGAGAAAACAAAAACAAAAACAAAAAACAAAAAACAAAACAACAAAAAAAACCCCTCTCTCACTCTGTCCCTCTCTGGTCAAACTGAAATAAATAAATAAATGAATGAATAAATAAAGTTAAATAAAATGACTTTTAAAAAGACATACTTTTGTCCTGATACTTTTTTTTAATCGCTAGTGGCACAAGGACTCAGCAGAGAAGGAGAAAGAGGGGGAGAGAGAGGGAGAGAGAAAGCATGTCCCAGTGGGAGATGGTCACACCGAAGTCTTTTTCCTCCATTTCTCCTTCCTATCAGGATTTTGGATACACACACATACATCTGGAATGTTTTTAAAGCCACCCAGGCCATGTGGGATCCAGCTCCCAATGCACATTGCTTAACTACTACACCAGGGGGCCATTTCTGTCCTTAGAACCTTATTGATGATAAGTGCCAATAAGTACAAATTCACAGGGCCAAGTTCAAACACAAAATGGAGGGACCAGTAGTTGGTGTAATGGCTATGTTGCTGGACTCCCATATAGTCGACCACGGTTCGAGTCCCAGACCCAGTGGCTTAAACTCAACGCTGCGCGTGTGCCTGCGTGCCCAAGAAATCCTGAGAGGAGAATGGAGGAGAAAGGATTGTGGCGTGGCCATCTCCCCGGGGGGTGATTTCTCGCTTTCTATCTCTCTGTCTCTGTCTTTCTGGAGAGCACACGCGCCCTATAGAAAAAAACCTCTCAAAAAAAAAAAAACCAAAATAGACAAATGTAGCATAGAACATGTCAGTGTCTTTTTACATATTTTAGGAAGCTGGAAGGACCAGCAGGTGGCATAGTGGTTAAGGTGCTGAACTCCCCCATGCTCGATTGCTGTTTGAGTTCCAGACCTAGCAGCTTGAAACTCATACCAGGTGCATGTGTATGCATGCCCAAAATTTCAAGAAGAGAATGGAGGAGGAAGAATTGTGCTTGGCCATCCACCCTGGGGGGTGGTTTTTAACTTTCCCTCTCGTTGTCTCTGTCTCTGTCTTTCTCTCTGATGAGCACATGTGTCCTAATATAAAAACCTCTTTAAAAAAGAAAAAAAGAAATCAAGGCAAGAAAGACAAGCATAATTCTATGCTCATTAAATTTGGCATAAATATTGCAGAAATTAGGACTGCCAGATGGCATAATGGTTACATTGCTGAACTCCCACATAGTCAACTGCAATTTGAGAGCCAGACCCGGCAGCTTTAAACTCACACCAGGCACGTGTGCATACATGCCCAAAATCCTAAGAGGAGAATAGAGGAGAAGGAACTGCAGTGTGGCCATCCCCCTGGGGGATGATTTCTCTTTCTGTCTCTCTTTCTCTCTGGAGAGAGCTTGTTCTCTATAACAAATACCTTATACATATATATTCATATATATATGAATATGTATATCAGAAATTATTCTAAAGGAAATTACAATTGTCTACATGGATCAACAGATTTATTTATACAACCATATTTACATCAGTGACCACATGAACATCCTCTTCTATGGCTTGCCTTCCTTCTTCGTAGATTTCATAAGTGCTGTCTATGTTAATCTTCAGCATTTTTGAGTTCAGCCTCCTCTACTGCTATCACAGACCTTGATGGATCCCAGTTGCCTTCCAAGTTCTTTTTGCTTACTATAAGGATCAAACAGTTATCTTTGTGTGTGTATGTGTGTGTGTGTGTGTGTGTGTGTGTGTGTGTGTATATGTGTGGTGTGTACAGGGACCTGAGGACTTGTTGGGGTGGGGGGAGAGGAGGGCAGGAATACTGAAAGAAAGCAGGAAGCTATCCTTCACCCTCTTAGTGCAAATTCATCTCCCCTGTATGAGGACTTCTTCCTGAGGAACAGCATACCTGCGGGGTTACGTGTGTTGGACCTTGAAGCTCTCAGCTTCAAATCCTCAAATCCATCACGTGTATCTTGTGTCTGTAAGACAAATAGGAGAAAAGACATTAGAAAACTAATGATTGCACAAGAATGCCAATGTTATCTAACACTACTGAATTGTATACTTAAAAATACTTCAGATGGGGGACCAGTAGTTAGCATAATGGCTATGTCGCTGGACTCCTACGTAGTCGATCAGAGTCCCGGACCTGGCGGCTTAAACTCACGCTGGGCATGTGTGTGTGTGCGTGCCCAAGATCCCAAGAGGAGAATGGAGGAGAAGGGACTGCAGCGTGGTCATCCCCCCTGGGAGGGGTGATTTCTCGCTTTCTGTCTTTCTGTCTCTCTCTGTCTTTCTGGCGAGAACACGCGCCCTATAGCAAAAACCTCTCAAAAAAAAAAAACACACACACACACACAAAAAAACCCTTCAGATGGGTAGCTTTATGTCATGTGTGTTTTACCATAATTTAAAATTTAAGCAAGGTGGTAATGATGCTCAGTTCCCGGATTTGTATAGTGGTGTGAAGAATGTTTGCTACCTGCTCCTGCTTCATCGGCAGCCCACCATCCTCCTTCTGCACAGGTCCTTCCTCAGACTTCATTTTGTTTCACTGACTTGAGCTTCATTAAAGGCAATTTCAACCTAATGTGAAACATTCTCTCTAATGACTTCATTCCCAGCAACTAAAATCCCAAGTAGCTATCATACGATTTTTATTGGGTCGTCGGAAAAAAACACATATTTTTTCTATGCAAAAATGCATCATGATTTTTCTGATGACTCAACAGTAATCTAAGCACCTATGCAATATTTGTTCCTTGTTATAACTAAAACATACAAGGAACAGCAGGTGGTGTGCTGGTTAGGATGTTGGACTCCCACATAGCTGACTGTGGTTCAAGTCCCGGACCCAGTGGCTTGAAAAATAACACCTGGCACTTGTGCATGTATGCCCAAAATCCCAGGAAAAAAGAGAAGGGACTGCGGCATGGTCATCACCCCTCAGCAGTGATTTCTCTCTCTGTGTCTTCCTTCCTCCCTCCTTCTCTCTCTCTCGCATGCGCACACATGCCCTATAGCAGGAAAAAAACTAAAGCATACAATGAAAATCCAGTAGCAATATAGGTAATTTACCTCTAACGTTCCCGAAGTGTTCATTGAAGTATCACCTTTCCAGTTCTGTGTACATTTTTCTAGTTCTGCTATCTGCAGGTAGGATAGAAATAAAAGATGTACTAAAATTTCAACAGAAACATTGGGCAACGTGCTAGAAAGAAACATCAATGCAGTACACCTGACAGGTTGCCTGTGTGTCATGTGAAAGCAGATAATCCAGTTTGGGTTTAGGAGAAAAGTCAGGCACATAATGAAATACGAATGAAGAAAATTGCTGAGGGCCATCAGGTGGCGTGGAGATTAAGGCACTGATTCCCACACAGTCAGCTTGGGAATCACACCAAATACATGTGCATATGTGCCCAAAGTCCCAAGAGGAGAGTAGAGGAGAAAGGATTGTGGCATGGCCATCTCTTGGAGATGGGTGTGTTTTTTTCTCTCCTCACTCTCTTCCCCCCTCTCTTCTCTTTCTCCCTGCATGCAACAAAAAAAACAAACAAAAAAAACAAACAAAAAAAACCAACAACTTCAAAAAATTAAAATTTAAAAAATGCTGAAGGCAGAAATATCTGGCAGCAGCCCCAATTTCCCTTGCTTCTGAGGCAGTGGGACACATGACTGGGTGACAAAGCAGAAACAAAGCAGGTGTAGGGACCAGCAGTTGGCATAATGGTTATGTCACTGGACTCCCGTGTCGTTGACCATGGTTCAAGTCCCAGACCTGGTGACTTAAACTCAGGCCAGGCATGTGTGCATGCGTGCCCAAGAACATGCGTGCCCAAGATCCCGAGTGGAGAATGAAGGAGAAGGGATTGCGGCATGGCCATCCCCCCGGGGCGGTGATTTCTCTCTTTCTGTCTCTCTGTCTCTCTCTTTCTGGTGAGCACATACATCCTATAGCAAAAAACTCTCAAAAAAAAAAAAAAGAAAAAAAAGAAAGAAAAGAAACAAACAAAGCAGGTATAAAATATTTCAAGTCAAACAACCAGATGGTTTTTTCCTAAAAAAAGATAAATATTGTCACTAGATTCACCTAAAAGTTCTCTGTTTTGCATTAGAAAGGATATGACTATTGAACTTGGCTAGAAATCTCAGTTCTCTTGCCTCTCTTGAAAGGCGTTGCCTAGTGATGTGAAAAGTACCCAGGATCATGGGGGGAAATGCACAAGCATATTTTCCAGCCCCCTAAACAGAAAAACCTAGTGTGTATTCATACTTGAACTTCCACATCACTTTTGTAAAAGAAGGTGTGTGTTCACACATTAGTAGGAAGACAGAGGAGTGTCCTCCACACAGTCATGCCACGATCCCCTTTCTCTAGTCCTCCAGGTTGTCAGACTGTGGCCACCATGTTTAAATCCTGTGTTTCAGGTTGGCTGGGCAAGAGATTCAAACCACAGTTGCCACGTGCAATCAGCTTCATATGAGCAGGGCATCAATGATATTCCATGGAGCTGACCCTCAATAACTTTTAAAAGGTTCAACTCTTAAGCTCGCTACTCTTCAGACCAGCAGATAGCATAAAGGTTATGTCCCTGGATTCCCATGTAGTTGACTGTGGTTTGAGTCCTGGACCCAGCTGTTTAAAACGCTGGGCATGTGTGCGTGCATGCCCAAAATCCTGAGAGAATGGAGGAGAAGGGATTGAGGCATGGCTATCTCCCTGGGGGATAATTTCTCACTTTCTATCACTCTCTGTCCCTAGTGAGCACACGCACTCTATAGCAAAAAATTTCTTTAAAAAAAAAAAAAAAAGATTGCCACTCTTAAAGTGAACAGCTTGGAAAAATGTGGGACTCAATTTACCCAATAAAAAGACTCAAAAGCCAAATTATGGTAACTTTTAGTAGCAAACCTCTTACCAAATGCCGATTCTTGACATTCTGATCTCTCTCATGTTGTAGCTTAGCAGCTTTACTTTGAATGATGACCTTCAGGACTTCATTGGTCCTTTTGAGTGTTTCAATGCAATTCTTCAACAAAACATATTGAGATTAGTACTAATTGTTATTTTACTTCTGTTTTTAGAATATAATCCACTAAGTAGAAGGGATTTTTACCTTAAATTTACATGCTTCATCACAGAGAAACTTATTTTCCCTTTCAGTTTCTTGAACATATTTCTTCATTATGTTGATCTACACAAATATGTAATATAGAATTTAAAATCACAAAAAATTAATCATAATGCTAGCAGAAAACTATCTCCAAGTAAATAAGTCTTTACAGAAATAAGAACAGCTATATTTTACATATATGTTGCTTGCTTTGAGCAAGGACTATTCATAGGACACAATAAAATAGGACACTGAGCTGAATGAAGAAATAGCAAAACAAGTGAACTATAAGAAGATCAGGGCCAGCAGGTGCCATGGTGGTTAAAGGTGACCGCAGTTCGAATCCCGGACCTGACAGCTTGCTTTCTCTCTTTCTCTCTCTGTCTCTGTCTGATCAAAATAAAAAGAATAATGATAACAAATGGAATTAAATAAATTAATTAAGAAAAAGAAGATGGAAGTTCTTTTCTTTTTGTAATTTTGCTATGGGGCATGCACTCTCACTGGAGAGACAGAAAGTAAGAAAGTACTCTAGAGGAAACGGACACACTGCAGAATTAAATAAATTAATTAAGAAAAAGAAGATGGAAGTTCTTTTCTTTTTGTAATTTTGCTATGGGGCATGCACTCTCACTGGAGAGACAGAGAAAGTAAGAAAGTACTGTAGAGGAAATGGCCACACTGCAATCCCTTCTCTTCTGTTTCCTCTTGGAATTTTGGGCACACATACACATGTGTCCAGTGTGTTTTTCAGTCTTCAGGTCCAGGATTCAGACCATATGGTTGGCCTTGTGGGATCTGGCTGCCTTAACCACCATGTTACCTACTGGCCTGAAGGTAGAAGTTATTTCAGGTGAAGACATGGGGGGAATAAAAAAGGACAATTTTACCTTCTGTTCCAAACTAGATATTTGTTCTTCAAGTTCAGTGTTCTCATTCCTGAAATTTTTTATCTTCTTAGAAATTTGCCGTAAAATAACTAAAAAGAGATAAAACAATCTCTAAGATTTTTTTTTTTTTACCAAACCACTAAGATAGAATTACCCCAACGTATCACCATCAGCAAAGCACATAACCTTGCACTAAGCGCATAAATAACTCTGGAGCATGACTGTGTGGCCTGAAGAAAGCTACATTCAGTAAGTGACTTTTCAAATTAAATCTATAAAAACAAATAAGACTTTAGATTCTTTTCTTTTTTTTTTTTTTTCATTTAGAGAGTTTTTTGTTACCCAGTGTGTGTGCCCTCTGGAGACACAGAGAGAGACAGAAAGACAGAGCGAGAAATCACCCCTGGGGGATGGCCATGTCATAGTCCCTTCTCCTCCATTTTCCTCTTGGGACTTTGGGAACGCATGCACATGCGCCTGGCATAAGTTTCAAGCCTTCAAATCTGGGACTCGAACTGCAATTGGCTATGTGGGAGTCTAGTTCCTATTTCATATTTTTTTCACTGATGAAATACCAAAAATGTCTTAGGGGCATGAGGGTGGCTCAGTGCTAAAGCATGATGCACTGTGAGGCTGGCTCACACAGGAAGTTCCTGGCTTTAGGTCCAGGAGACTGCCCTGCTTGTGGGGCACACGCATGGCCATGACCCAAGGCTGGCTAAGGCTAGGGTAGATTGTGCATCAAGACCCTGATGGGGGATTTGTCTGTATCTCTCTCTCTCTCTTTCTCTCTCTCTCCCTCTCTCACTCATGATACAAATGCATCAATAAACTTTAAAAAAAAATAGGATGTCTTGGGTCACCCTTGTAGCCTACTGGTTATGGCAGTCAGATCACACATGGCAGATCATGGATCAAATCCCAGCCCATTATCTTGAAAAACGCACTAGGTACATGTATGTACATGCCTCAAATCCTGAATAGGACAGAGAAATGGAGAAGGGATTATGGTGTGATCACGCCCCACTGGGAGTTGTTTCTCTCTCTGTCCTCCTCTGATCAATGTATGTGACCTCTGGCAATTAAAAAAAATGTCTTAGGTTAACAGCTCTCCCAGCAACTAAGCAACTGTCTTTTTGGAAAATAGGACCAGTTTGGGACCAGCGGATGGCATAATGGTTATGTTGCTGGACGTCCATGTACTCAACTGCAGTTTGAGTCCTGGACTTAGTGATTTAAAACTCATGCCAAATGCGTGTGCGTGCATGCCCAAGATCCCAAGAAGAGATTGGAGGAGAAGGGATTACAGTGTGGCCATCCGCCCGGAGGATGATTTCTTGCTTTCTGTCTCTGTCTCTCTGGTGAGTGAATGTGCCCTATAGCAAAAATCTCTGAAAAAAAACAAGAAAAGGAAAATGGGGCCAGTTAAATACTCCTGTTATCACTAGAGATGAATCAGAGAAAACTTAAGCATCTTATTTTCTTACATTTCTGTCCTCTAATTAGCAAGGTAAATAAATGGATCATTGAAATCCTTTTTAAAAACAAAGCACCTCATTTATTTCAGGTTTTTCTCACACCATCTAGTGTTTAAAACTTACTATACAATCCCTTTCAAAACTCCTGAACTACCAAAAGGCCTCCAATGTCTTTGTAATCCCCAGCAGATTTCCTTTCATGAGACCAGGGTAAGAGACATGAAGGACGTGGGCTTTGGAATCAGACATGCCTGGGGGAAACTTTGGCTTTACAAACACTTGGGAGCCAGAGGACCTGGACAACTAACTCACCATCTGAAACACAAGATTTTTCATCCCCAAGAGGAAATCTGGTTACCTGGTTAGAAATACACATGAAGTACCCACCTTACAGGTGGATAACACATGTAGAGCTCCTAGAACATGGCCCGTGGTTCCAGACCCCTCTGACAGTCATTCATTCCCTCATCTGGCTCCAAAGCACAGTTTTATCTCCTGTTTCCCCAGGTGAGAGCTCTCCTGCCTGAGGCCATTCCTCACCACCACTGCTGCATGCACTGCAGCAAACTGAGCACCTGCGGGCCTGCTGTGTACCAGGAGCTGCCTTGGCTGACACGAGACAGTATCCCTTTTTCTTTTTCTTTTTTTTTTTTTTTTTTTTTTTTTTTTTTTTTTTTTTTTTTTTGAGAGATTTTTGCAGTTTTGCTATAGGGTGCATGTGCTTGCTGGAGAGACAGAAACAGAGACAGAAGGCAAGAAATCACCTCTTAGGGGTGATGGCCATGCCACAATCTTCTCCTTTCTCCTTCTGGGATCTTGGGCATGCACACACACACACATGCCCTGTGTGAGTTTGAAGCCACCACGTCTGGGACTCGAACCACCACTGGCCATGTGGGAGTCCAGCGACATAATCACTATGCCATCTGCTGATCCCTAGACAATACCTCTTAATCATCACAGCCAGCCTTGCCAGAGCAGCACAGGAGACAGGTCACTGCTCTGTAATGCCGGGGCCACATAGAAGACCCTGATTCAGATCCCTTATTGACCTTAAATATACCAGGCTGGCATGTAAGATTGGAGGTGGGGATCACGGCATGACTAAACCTTGTTCAGGGTACCTGTATTTCTTCCTCTCTACTGAGAGAATTAAAAAAAGAAAATTTCTTTAAAAAAAATCACAGTCTATGAAGATTGTCAAAATGTATTATCTACCTTTTGCATCAAGTTCATTTCTCCTCATTCTCTACTGGTGTGAAAAGTTTCCCCCACATAAGATTTCAAACACGTTTTAAACTTTTATCATGGCACACACTTTGCATTCTCTGGGTTCTTCTCCAAGCCCTTAATCCCCTTGATAAGCATGGACTGTGTCTTAATTGTTTTTGCACACTTCAAGAGCCAAGTCAGGCCAAGGTACTTTCTTCAAACTTCAGATTCACGTTGCACCTGCTTTCTAAACATTTCTGTCCAACACTAAACTCACCCTTTTTTTCCCTGCTCCTGTGATCTTTTCCTTCCCCATCCTCTATCCCAATAGATGGCAACTCCCTCCCTGTTGTCATTGGTTTTCACCCAGGAAGAGAACATTTTCAAGAATAAAGAAGCCAACCAGACCTTGGAAATCACTGTATTCACTTCTCATTGAGAACCCATATCAAACACCTGTTCTGAGAAAACATTACAAGAAAACAAGCCCCAAATCTTACCTTGATATACTCGAGGCTTTACCTAGAAAAGGGTGAAGCAAAAATAAATGTGATGTTAAAACATACTATTAATAAAAAATTTATAATTTCTTTTTTTTTTTTTGGAAGAGGTTTTTGCTATAGGGCACATACGCTCGCCAGAAAGACAGAGAGAGACAAAGAGACAGAAAGCGAGAAATCACCCCCCAGGGGGGATGGCCACGCTGCAATCCCTTCTCCTCCAATCTCCTCTCGGGATCCTGGGCATGCACGCACACGCACCCGGCGTGAATTTCAAGCCACCGGGTCTGGGACATGAACTGCGGTCGACTACATGGGAGTCCAGCAACATAGCCATTATGCTAACTGCTGGTCCCAAAATTTATAATTTCTGATGAAACAGTTTAAGTCGTAATCCAGGACCAGACCCATAGCACAGTGGTTAAGAGTATTGAAACCCACAGGGTCAAGCTGCCAGGGCCAGGATTCTAGCTGTGTGGTTTGCCATGTGGGATCTAATTCCCTTAACCACGTGTCCATGGGACCAGCCTTAGAATATCTCATTCTAGACAGAAAGATCTGCTTATTTTCTATTAAATGAATACCATACTTTTTCACTTTAATCATGGAAGTGGTAGACCTTTTTTAGTTATTATGCCAGTGAATGAATCATTTTCTTAATACCGTATTTTATTAACTCCAAGAGCTATAATGAAATCCAAAAGCAGAGAATGTTATCAAAGTTTCCAAAAACAGGAAAGAAAAGTCAAACTCTCTGGGCTAAGATAAGACTCTTTGACTCTTTTTTTTTTTTTTTTTGTGGTTTTTGGAGAGGTTTTTCACTATAGGGTGTGTACGCTCGCCAGACAGACAGAGAGAGACAGAAAGACAGAAAGGGAGAAATCACCCCCCAGGGCGGATGGTCACGCCGCAATCCCTTCTCCTCCATTCTCCTCTCGGGATCTTAGGCACGCACGCACACGCGCCTGGCGTGAGTTTTAAGCCACTGGGTTTGGGACGCGAACCGCGGTTGACTACATGGGAGTCCAGCGACATAGCCATTACGCTAACTGCTGGTTCCCAAGTCTCTTTGACTATTTAGAAATCACCTTAGAGATCTTTTTATTCAAAGCTGACTCTTTGCTGAACTGACAATTCCCAACAAATCAGGCTCTGGTATATCCCAGAGCACTGACAATAGAGGGTGTTAAATCCTAAAGGGAGTGGGAGAAGGCTGAGGAAACACACCCACAATAACAAAAATGACAGAAAGGGCCCAGAAAGGGCAGAATACTTCCCTGACCCCAGTCATCTCCTAACAATATCACTGAGTTGCAGCTCAGTGAAATCCAGGGAGGGGACCCCATTTTAACACCATGTATAGACACACTTTTGGCCCCTAGATACCTGCTCTGAAGTTATAATTGGTGACCAGATGCTGAGGCCAGCCCAACCAACTTGCCAAGACAACGGACTGTCCCTGCCTAGCAAGACATCACTTACAATGATTATGGGAAGTGCATTGGGAGGGCCAGCAGGACAGGCGTGGACAGTCCTCTGAGGTCAGCTCAGCTCCCTCTGCCTACTGTCACACAACCCCCAGGCAGGGGCCAGCAGGAGGAAGGATAGGCAGGTGACTGACAGTAAGGACAAGCTCCCAGAGTCAAGTGCTGCCACTGAGGAGCAGGAGCAGGGCACAGAGAAGAGACCCCTGGAAACCAGTGCCCGGGCTGGGCCTCTGAGAGGAGAGAGCAGAGTGGGAACAACACAGCGCTGCTTTCCCTTCTCCCTGTCCAGCACGTACGCTCTGCTGTTTCCTTTCTTCTGAGGGAAATCCACAGGCAGTGGGGGAGGAGAGACCCTGCAGAAATCCTGGAGAAAGACTTGTTTATAAGGAATTTCCCAAGCAATACACAAGAGGAAAAACTTGATTATAATAATAGGTGCATTGTTATTAAGAGTTCAGGTTAGCACCGAAAATGTCTACCATTTTAACTGATTAGTTGGCAGTCACCTGCAAAGCTCATTTGTACACGGTACTTTGCCCTTTATTATTACTGCGGTAGTACAACCATCCCTGAATACACTAAGGTCCCACTCTCTCCTTGATTAGCATACTTAAAAGATCCTGAAGTATAACTCATGGCCACAAGTGCCTCAGTAGTTTGTGCTGTGCTCTGTTCATACAGAAGGCATCTGAAAGTGGGGGCAGTCTTGTGGGACTTGGAGTTTGTATCACAGCAAGATAGTGCTCCAGATGAAAATGGAAACTGTGGGATCTGCACTAGCTCCAAGTAGTTCATGTCAGAATAGAATTAAAGTGTAGGACCCCTAGTTGGTGTCCTCAGGATGGAGAATGGCTTGGTGTGGAAGACCCAGTAATTTGACAATTCCCCTACTGTGCATCATTTGGGTTGTTACCATTTTTTCACGGTAAGAAATACTTCTCCATTAAGTGTCTTAAGGCAAGGTCTTTGTACATGTGGTTATTTTGTTATCACAGCTTACTATTGTAGTTATAGTGAATAAGAGGATATGAACATTTATAAGGCTTCCCATACATACTATTAAACTGCATTTGAGGATGATTGTGAGAATTCACAATTAAAGTCAACATATTGAAAGGATCATTGAATGGTTCATATTTATTACTTCTTTCTAATAGAAAGGATTTATCCTTTGAAGTTTTCTCACTGAGATTACATAAAGGTCTTTTTTTGTGGAAAAGTAGAATTAAAGTATGAGTTTATAGTTTGTGCTGTGCTCTGTTCATACAGAAGGCATCTGAAAGTGGGGGCAGTCTTGTGGGACTTGGAGTTTGTATCACAGCAAGATAGTGCTCCAGATGAAAATGGAAACTGTGGGATCTGCACTAGCTCCAAGTAGTTCATGTCAGAATAGAATTAAAGTGTAGGACCCCTAGTTGGTGTCCTCAGGATGGAGAATGGCTTGGTGTGGAAGACCCAGTAATTTGACAATTCCCCTACTGTGCATCATTTGGGTTGTTACCATTTTTTCACGGTAAGAAATACTTCTCCATTAAGTGTCTTAAGGCAAGGTCTTTGTACATGTGGTTATTTTGTTATCACAGCTTACTATTGTAGTTATAGTGAATAAGAGGATATGAACATTTATAAGGCTTCCCATACATACTATTAAACTGCATTTGAGGATGATTGTGAGAATTCACAATTAAAGTCAACATATTGAAAGGATCATTGAATGGTTCATATTTATTACTTCTTTCTAATAGAAAGGATTTATCCTTTGAAGTTTTCTCACTGAGATTACATAAAGGTCTTTTTTTGTGGAAAAGTAGAATTAAAGTATGAGTTTATTTTGGTACAAAAAATTTTGAAATCCATCCATAGTTCTTTCATAATATGCATTTTTTCCATTAAATTCTTGAAGATCCCTTGTATCTCCAATATATACTTTTTTTTTTTTTTTAAGAGTGATGTTTGCTATCATGCATGTGCACCTGCCAGAGACACAGAGAGACAGAAAGCAAGAAATCACTCCTCAGGGGGAATGGCCACACTCCAGTCTCTTCTCCGTCTTGGGATTTGGGGCACACACACATACTATACAACTGTCTTATTCACTGAGTACTTTACTAAGATAAGTTAGAATATTTTTTACAATAAATATCCTGTTTCAGGCATTGTTTCTGTTAATGTTAGTCATCTGAAAAGAAATAAAAAGGACCAGTGTTGATATAACAATCTGACCTGACTTATGATTCAGAGTTCACTTATAAGGAATTGTGATATACTCACAGCAAGGACGGTGCTCCAGAGGAAAATTGCAAATGACACAATTCCCACGTAGGCAGTAATAATGGCAAATTTACAAAGAAAATAAAAAATAGCAGGCCCAGGATGAAAATGGTCAGGCAGAACACCAAGCAGCTAGAATAACAATATCAAAAATATTGATGCATCTCAAATAAATTTACAATATGATCGTGATTAATACAAGGAACCATTCATACTCCACAGTATCTGCCAAGAGATAACCAGATGCTTGAAAAATGTCCAGTGTATTCAGCCATTTCAAGTAAGATTGAGGCTGACACCCTCATGTTCCTTTCTGGCTGGCAGTGTTGTTAGATATTGTAAAAGTGGGTGTCTTTGAGTAGTGCTCAATTTCCTGTTCCCTACAGACCCTGCTCACTCCTGTGTCTAACATTAGATTGGAATCCCTCCTAATCATACTTCTCTCTTAGATAAATTGATATATCACTTAAGGATCAGTATAAGATAAAAAATGAACAAACCAATACAGAAATGACTTCATTCAGAAATAACCAACTTTTAGGGCATTGGTAAGGTCAAAGTAAGTCAAAGTGTGATAATGAGTATGACACCTATATTGTCTGATTTATTGAAGGTTCTTGATTTTAATTCTACTATACTATTAAGCAAATGAAGACCAAGTCTTGCACTGAGTAAGCTGAGGCAGCTCCTGATACCTGTTCTAGATAGTCTACAGTGAATAACTCAAGTTCCTGCACAACTTGATACCTTAATTCTAAATGTTTAAAGATAGTGCATTAAAAGGACATATTTTTAAAAGAGAATATGGCTCAACAATAAAAATGAATGAGTTGCCAATTCATGCAACAGTATGATGAATCTCAGAGACACTGTGAATTTCAAAACCTTAAATCTCAAAACATTGAACAGAATAAGAGGACACAAAAGGGCACTTATGGCATGACCTCTGCATATGAAATTCTAAAACAGTCTAAATCAGCCTATGCCAGGGGCAGGGATGACCAGAAGAGGGTGCTTTCTAGAATTACAGTAATATTCTACAGCTTGAGAGAGATTGCATTATACTGATATATATATTTGTCGAAACTCAGTGACTATATACTTAAAATTTGTATATTTCACTCTATGTAATTTTACTTTAAAAGAAAAATCTGTGTGGGACCAGCAGGTGGTGTGATGGTTACGGTGCTGGACACTCCCACATGGCCGACCATGGTTCGAGTCCTGGACCTGGTGGCTTGCTTTCTCACTCTTTCTCTCTCTCTGGTCAAATTAAAATAAATGAATGAATAAATAAAATTAAATAATTTAAAAAAAGAAAAATCTGTGAACAAATGGTAAACTCTAGTTAATGATAGGTGTGCTGAAACTCTTAGGAAGAACTACACTGATGTCTGCAATTTCATTTGAAATGATCCAAAAAATGAAATGAACTCATGGATGGAGGACTGGAGGAAACTAAATGATAAATCAAGTTTGATAAAATGTTAATGGAGTCATGTTGTATATTTGAAATTTTTCATTAAAAAACATTGCAGGTAGAAAGCAAAACTGTAATACCACATGTCAGTGATTGATGATTGAAGGACAGAAATAACCAGCCCCATGTCTTACTCTAGGGTAATGAGTAAACTGGTATAGCCATTCCAGGAAATTTTACACGGCAACAAAAAGGAATAAACCATAATTATACAAAACATCATGGAAAAACCGCAAGATGATTATTCTGTCCTAAAGAGAATCCAAACATCCCCCCAAAATAACACATACATTTTGTGTAATTCTACTTCATAAAACTCTATAAAATCCAGACCAGTGGATAGTAGGGGCAGAGAGAATGGAAGGACAGATGGATTATAAAGAAACCTTTGGGGCTATTGGATATGGCTGTTATGTTGATTGATAGTAGTGAAGGTTTCATGGCTATACACATAGGTCAAAATTTAAGAAATTTTTCAGTTTAAACAGATATTTTCTGTTATACATCACTTAAAACTCAGTCAAAATGGAAGTGACAACTCAGATTATATTAGAGCTTAGCTTTTTTTTAATAAAAACCCCTTTTTAAAAGATAATTATTCAGTTTTATTTCTTCTTATTATTTTTTAAATTGACCAAAAAGAGATAGAGAGAGAGTGAGAAAGCAAGCTACCAGGTCCAGGATTCAAGCTGCAGTTGGTCATGTGGGAGTTCAGCACCACAACCACCATGCCACCTGTCAGCCTCAATATAAAAAAGTTTTTTATTGGGGCCAGCAGATAGAATAGTGGTTATAGTGCTAGACTGCTGCATCGTCAACCACATTTCAAGTCCTGGGCCAGGTGGCTTGAAACTCATGCCGGGCGTGTGTGTGTGCACGCCCAAAATCCAGAGAGGAGAATGGAGAAGGGATTGAGGCATGACCGTCCTACCTGAGGGATGATTTCTCTCTTTCTACCTCTCTGTCTCTCAAGCAAGCACACATGCCCTGTAGCAAAAAAACAAAAACAAAAACAAAAAACAACAACAAAACTCTAAAAAAACCTCAAAACCAAATATTTATATTTTTACATTGAAAAATAACTAACCATTTATGAATTTATAAGCCAATTTATAATTTAGAAAATTAAAGAAATTAGCAACTTACATTGAATAAGAAGACGAACTTTTCTTTTAAATATTCCTGAAATACCTGCATAAAATCTTGTGGAAAATATCCAAAAGAACACCCAATCTGTGGGAAATAAGGAAAAATAGTGATCAAAATTTTATATTAAATCTATAGATAGTCCTTCATGCCTGTATCTATGGATTTTATACTTGGGGATTCAACTAACTGCTGATTAAAAATAATTGGGGAAAATATAACTACAACCAAAAAAAAAAATAGAAAATACAAAAATTGGTCCAGCCACTGGCATGGTGGTAAGGTGGCAGGATCCCACATGGCTGACTATGTGGTTCAAGTCTTGGACCTGGCAGCTTGCAAAACATGCCAGTTGTCTGTACCAAGAATCCCAAGAGGAGAATAGAGGAGAAAGGATTGTAGGCATATACCCAAATGTGGGGGGGTGCTTTCTCACTTTCCATCTCTCCCTTTCTGTCTCTCCAGTGAGTGCAAGCACCCTATAGCAAAATGAAAAAACCCCAACACAGTATAATAACTAATTATATAGCATTGATATTGTGATACATTTATAAGTCATCTAGAGATAGTTTTAAATACATAGGAGGTACACCAGCTATATGCAAATACTATGTCATTTTATATAAGAGACTGAAGCATTCTTGGCTTTTGGTTACTTGTAGGGGTTCCTGAAACAAACCCTCCATGGATACCAAGGGACAACTGTACCCTGGAAGGTAGGGCAGTTGATAAGACCTGGTTTCTACGAGACCTCTGATTTTGCACTGGAAACAAGTAACTGCAATACAAGACAATGACGACAGACATTCCATGCATAAACAAAGCACCATGAGCATTCTGAGAGCAAAGATTGCTTCTGGGTGATACTGAGCACACACTTTTCAAAAGCAAAATTGAATATAGATGGCCTCTGAAATGTGACAGGATTTCTTGTGGTGAAAATGGCCAAGAATAACAGAAGAGATGACAAATACAAGTCCTCAAAGATGAGGATGGGAAAGAGCTTAACTGACATATGAAAAGTCCAGCCTAGGTAATCTTTAACATAAAGATTATCAAGAGATCACCTTCTTCAGCAGACTGGAAAGAACCAGGATAAGTTCTTCTTTCCATGGAGGTATTGCATTAGGGTAATTCTGCCTCAATGATAGGGTTGTTCCATATCACTGAACCTTTCCACATCCCTCCCTGGGCCAAGGCCATCAAAACATCTACTATCCCTGTAAGATGCTCCTTGTCTGTCTATTTCCCTTCTCCTCCTCTTCCTCTTCCTCCTCCTCGTTTTCCTCCTCCTCCTCCTTCTCCACTTCCTCCTCCTCCTAATTTTGTTTGATGGGTGACTTGTTTATTAATGAGAGAGTGAACTTCCTAATGGAGCTAGTGAACTTCCTATGTCCTAAAGACATTAAGGACCACTTTTGCTTTGGGTAAATCGAGAGTCCACGCACACATTTCACTGTGGAAATGACAGTAACTCTTCTGTGTCCCAGCTATGTCACATGTAACACCTAGTGACTCCTCTCATCAGACTGTCTCAGCAGGAGGCAGTTAGTCTCACATCTCATGGGCTCCTCCATGTTCCATCAATCTGGAAGGACACAGAGGCCCTGCTGGGAAACCCTGGGAGCAGAAGGAAGGGATGACCCAGAAACCGCCAAAGATAGAAACTGTCACTTTCTATCCAAGCAAGTAATAACACCTTAACTGGGTCCCAGTGTTCCCAGGGTGGCCCAGCCTTCATGAATACCAATAATTAATTAAGAGGAGAAAGCAGGGCTTTATTTGCAGAGCTTTGAGCATGACCTATTGTAGTTGGGGGCTTCCAGGATAAGCTTAACACCCGCCACTCCCATTTAATCAGAGTCCCTTCCATTTTGAAAAACAGCTGGACTGAAATGTCATCTATATGCAATTCCCTGGTTTATGGTGCCCGGTTCAGTGGCTTTTGGCATATTCCCAGTCCTTCATTTTTGAGGGTACCATACTCCCGTTCAGGTTCTCATCCTTTCCACCCTCCGTTTGGAACAAACAGGGCTGGCAGGACGCGGTCTGTGATGCGGACAGTTGTGGCCAGATCCCGCTGAGGCTGACCAGAAACCGACACTGGGAGCGCTGGCCTGCAGGGAGGACCGAGTTCCCATAGAAGACCCCGTGAGAAACTAATTAAAGCGAAGTGTGAGACAGCCCAGGACAAAGGTGAAACCAGGGCGCTTTACTCACATTCACGGCTGGGCGACCCGGGCACCCAAGCAGGAGGACACAGAAGAGCAGCCTCTGCACCTCCATGTCGAGACTAGGGGGTAGGTGAGCAGGGTCAGGGGTGGAGGGGAGGACCGTGTAACTAGGGGGGGGGGGGGGGGGAGGGTCAGGGGGGGGGGGGGGGGCCCTGGAACTTGGGGGGGGGGGAGCGGGAGGGTCAGGGAGGAGGCGGGGCTGCAGGCGGGGTCTCTGACGGGAAGGGATCCGAGCAGGAGTCGTGTCTGAGTAAGGTCACGTCTAGCTGGGGACGGAGAACTGGAGAACCAGAACTTGGTCTTCTCTGGTGCTAGGAAGTGAGGATCAGACAGGTCAGCAGTCCTGGAGATCAGTGGGTCACCAGGTCAGTGGGACTCAGGAAGGAGTGAAATGCGACTCTCAGAGTGGCAGAGGAGGAAAAGGGGTCTGTCTTTTTCAGAGTCTTCTGTTTGGTCGCTGCCTTGGCAACCTGCCTGCTTTATACTCCCCTGGACATCACGCGACCCCATTCTTAGAACACCCCTCCCCCATGGGGCCCCCAGCACGTGCCATCCTGAGCACTGGTCCTCTCTGGAACCTTCTCTTTCCTAGTCATACCAATGGCTGTGCCACTTTGTCATCAACCATCAGAACTGAGTGTAGTAAGTGTTTTGCTTGTTGTTTTTGATCATGAGAACTGCTTTTATTTTTCTTTTTGTATCAATTAGAAATGTACTTGTTTTTAAAAATCCAAATGCTGGCATTGTCCAGAAAAATTTAACAGGATTATTTGTAATTGTTATAAAACTGAACTCCTTAAATTTGTCCCCCAAAACCTTTTTCTTTTTAGAAAGAGAGTTTTGTTATAGGGTGTGTGTGCTCGACAGAGAGACAGAAAGACAGAAAGTGAGAAATCCTCTCCCTCACCATAAGCAATTCTTTCTTCATTCTCCTTCTGAGATTTTGGGTACACACACATGCACGTGGCATAATTTTCTTTCTTTCAATTTTATTTATTTATTTTTTCGTAGAGAGATTTTTACTATAGGGAGCATACACTCGCCAGAGAGACAGAGAGATAGAAAGCAAGAAATCATCCCCTGGGGAGATAGCCATGCCACAATTCTTCATTCTCCTCGTGGGATTTTGAGCACACATGCACATACGCCTGTCATGAATTTTAAGCTGCTTGGATCCAGGACTCAAACCATGGTTGACTATGTAGGAGTCCAGCTACATAACCCTTATACCATCTGCTGGTCCCACACCAGCATGATTTTTCAAGCCACCAGGTCCTTGACTAACTGTGATCAGCCATGTGGGAGTCCAGTGCCTTAACCACTATGCCACCTGGTGGCCTTGCCTAGCATTTGTATTTGAAAAAAATCACACATAAATGAAAATGAAAAAAATTTCCAGTACCTGATTTCTGTCCCCTATTTTTCTCTTCCCAATCATATGCTTATGTTCCTTTTGATCCCATGAGAAAAAAAAAAATCTAACATTCAGAACTACCAATCTTAGGAAGAAGAGGAAAAAACTTTTTTTTTTTTAGAATAAAATGTTTCCATCATAGTGGATTCTTAAGTATATTCCCTATGTTTACAGTGTGCTATCAATATGTCTTCTGGCATAATTATTACATGTTTGGCATGCATAGCACACAGGTTACCTTCAAAAAGGAAACCCAACAAGCCTCACATGTCTTCTACAAAGCACCAATATCTGCATGCTGGAAGTGCGAAACTGTTGTGAGGTCCTGAGCAATTTCTCACACCAAACACCGGAAAGGAAGTTTGTGGATAAGAAGTTTCATGGACTGCCCTGCCATCAGTACCAGCTCCTGCTTGGTGGCAATGGCAGAAGCCAGGGAGAACTGAGACTGCTTTCTGGAAGTCTCCAGCTATCTTTTGCCCACTCAGGAATACTTTCAACCTCATAGTTTCCTGAAGCAAGGGGTACACAATTTGTACTATGCAACCCCTACTTTCTTCCTCCATAGAAATCCTGCGGCTCAACCCCAGGTGAACCTGTTCTCAAGAAACTGGGAGACCACTGGAATATCCAGTTATAGTGACAATAGTAGAGAAATTAAGAAGAAACAGGACCAACAGATGATGTAGTGGTTGTGTCACTGGACTTCCACATAGTTGACCGTGGTTCCAGTCCTGGACCTGGTAACTTGAAATGCTCTCCAGGCATGTGTGAATGCATGCCCAAGATCCCAAGAGGAGAATGGAGAAGGAACTGCAGTGTGGTCAATCCCCCTGGGTGGTGATTTCTCGCTTTCTGTCTGTCTGTCTGTCTCTCTCTCTCTCTGTCTCTGTCTTTCTGGCGAGTGCATGCACCTTATAGCAAAAATCTCTTTAAAAAGATGATGAAACATAGGGACCAGCAGTTAGCGTAATGGCTATGTTGCTGGACTCCCATGTAGTCAAACGCGGTTTGCATCCTGGACCCGGTGGCTTAAACTCACGCCGGGCGCATGTGCTTGCGTGCCCAAGATCCTGAGAGGAGAATGGAGGAGAAGGGATTGCGGCATGGCCATCCCCCCTGGGGGGTGATTTCTTGTTTTCTATCTCTCTGTCTCTCTCTGTCTGTCTGGCAAGAGCATGCTCCCTATAGCAAAAACCTCTCCAAAAAAAAAAAGAAAGAAAAAAAAGTTGATGAAACATATAATCCATCAGATGGTCAGAAATCAGAGGCACAAGAAATAGGGAAACCAAGACAGTGGAAATGAACAGTTCCTCATCAGGCATAGACAGTACAATGATACTCAAGGAAATATCAGATAAAGAATTCAGAATATTCATAGTGGCAAAACTAAATGAGATGCAACAGAAAAGAGACAATGAACTCCAGAAGATGCAAGA